GTAACTGTTAAAGCTCTATATCATACAACAGTGCAATATTGTTAATAACATGATAGCATACAGATGTCACAATGTTGAAACAAAAAAATGAAAGACAGAAAGAAGTAATGAGATATCCAGGACTTGAGTGAGATGAACAATATATGACTGTTGAAGTAAAAAATAGAAGTGTCTGTAATAACATATGTATCTGAAAGAAATAAGGTAAAGTTATTAATAAATTGAAGTGCTAACCCAGTACTTCCAGCCTTGTTCCTAGAGAATTCCATCTGGCAAAAGCTCTGGAAGCGTGGGTGCTCTGGAACACAGGACCATGATTTGAAATCCTGACTTTCTGGGCACGCATTGTAAATTGCTAGTGAGATCATTTATAACAACAACAACAACAATTTTTAAAAAAATACCAAACAATTCAAACAAAAAGGACTTGCCCTTTCACTTCTGGCATGCTTCTCAAAAAAAAAATCCCCAAACCCCCCCAAAATCATTTGAAAGCCATTTAATTCTAAAGCATAATACAGAAGCAAGTAAGAGTACGATTTCCTTTTATTTGGGATGTATGATGTTATTTTCTATATTTTTAAAAAATAATCCAAAGTGCTCCTTTATCTTTTTTTTTCTCCCCTAAACAAGAAGCTAATTCTCAAACTCAAATAAATATTTAGAGATCAGCCCTTTACAGCTGAGGAAGTAGATGGCAAAGTAGATCCAAAGCAAGCAATTCAGACTTTGGAAGCATTTTATGAACTACTTTCTGAACCACTTATGTAGTCTAGCTGAACTTTTTATGCTGTGTTTTTTAAATAAACAAAATGAGAACAGCAGAATTCATGTATAACATTTATGAAAATAAAATAATAAAATAAAAAAATATGACATTACTATTTAATACAGAATTCTGAAGTAAGAATTCCGAAGTAAGAATTCCAGACATCTGTAGCATTATTCACAGGACTGAAAAACTGCACTGTATTATAACTTAGCATTCAGCATAAAAGTCAAGAGTGTGTTTTCCATTTTGTTTTAGACTTGGTTAATGACAATGTGACATTGTAGTGGTTATGAGGAAAGCCTATTTGACAGGATATTTTTTCCCTTCCATTACACGAATAACAAAAATGGGGAAAAAAATTAAAAAATCCCTGAACATACTTGTTTAAATAAGGGAAAAAAAAAACAACAAACCAAACCAAAAATAAAATGATGAAGAATGAACCACAGCTTATTAACATACTAACTTCCAACATCCAGCAATTTTAACTGGAGAGAGTAGACCCCTGAAAGTAAACAAGTGGAATGAAGCCCATTACTGTAGGAAATGTTTGGCATTTCTTGACTTACTACGCCAAGAAACATATAAAATATAGTTTTAACATAATATTAATACTTATTTCCAGGGCAATCACTAACATGTATTGCCTGCAACACATGTAGAGAGAAAAAAACCCTATGTATTACTATAACCATTTTATTAGACTAAAAATATTATCGGATCTACACATGTACCACTGGAACCAATTTCATTTTGGCACCCACCTTCTACTGAAAATTGCCTGACAGAAGGCCTTATGCTGAGACAACAAAATAAATATGAACTTGGTGCCTGCAGTTTTATTAACATATTTTGTACCTTTCATCGTCTGTGTTCCAAACCAAAGAATAAATAAAAAATTTGGCACAAAATAGTTTCAAGCAGATTAATATTGGTATGACCTCCCTTGAAACGCATATAATGAATCAGAAGAATTAACACACATCCATTTTTTTAATGAGACTATATTCAGTAACACTTCTCCTTATTAATTACTTTGTTTGTAATAAAATGAATCAGATTAAGACTTTTGTTAAAGGATTTTTAAAAGAACTATGTAAACTTGGATTATTTATATATATACACAATATGTATACTCACATACATATACATGTCAAGATACAGATTCTTTAAGTTTAAACAGAAGATACCCTAAGATACGCCTAAACAGTATTTGAAATCCATACTGACCCTAATTATAATTTCCTCTCTGGCATATTAAAAAAGCATCAATCACAGAAAAAAATTAATAATTTCTTCTGTTTGGAATTCCCTACAGCACTCCCTTAAAAACACTCCAAATAAAGTGCAACACAGTATGCTTCATTATCACCTATAGCATGTTTCTTTTCCTCTTCTGTCTGTCATAACAATCCATATGTCTCCTGATAAGTAATATTATTTAGGTTTCATTAGAGATGTGAAACTAGATGTGAACAACAACATAGATATCTTCCAGTAATAGTAAAACGTGATTTTATCAGCCTTCATCCAGGTCAATACGTCTATTTGGACTACTTACTTCTGTATTTTTCTTTAATTTCAACAAACTCTCCAGATAACGAGTAGCTCCAAACTCAGATGGCCAGTCTCAATAAACAGAACTGTCATAAAGATTTACTGTGTTATGTATCGATAGCTCTAACTGGAGACAGAACACTGAGATATTATCTGTTGGTTTTACATGCTCAGGACACTTATGGGCAGGAGACTCAGGCAGATGTAAGCCATCATGGTCACAAATATTTTGCCCTATGAAAGCTAGCTCAAAATGCATACATGTTCAAAACCTCAGAAAGATATTTTCATTGAAGTAGCAGCTTTTTATACTATCATTTCATGATATTTTCATTTGGGTATTTAGCTCACATCAGTTGTTTACCTGTGAACACTCCGCTTAACTGTTAAAAAAAAGATTGACTTATTTCTCAACATCCTATTCAACTGCAGCACATATCACTAATAAACCAGTCTGACTCATGTGCATGACAGTTACTCTCTAGCAGTACCTTCTGTTCTCTGCTTGAAACTGTTACCCATAAAAACTCTATATCCAATTATTTTTTCCATTTTAAGTCTATATTAAAAATTTCTATCTTTGAATAAGGTCACTATATGGCATTTATGACTGATGAAGTTAATTGATGTCCTTTTTTATTATTGGTTCTCAAGAAAAGTATTGTACCTCAGTCAGCAGTACTTAAACTTTATTCTATGTTTTAATTGCACAGCGTATGTACCAAGAAAGAACTTGTTTCTGAAACATGAACACACATGCCACATAAGCCTAAGTAAAGATAAATTATAAACTTAAAAAACCCTAAAATTTTGTGTTGTCCTAATTTAGTTGAGGTACTTGAAAGTTATTTTTCCTTCTGTTTCTTCTTACAGGTAGAAATTCATTAAAGTATCTTACGTGCTAATTTCTGAAGGAATGGAATGCAAAATTACTTGCTATGATCTCAGAAGAAACTTTTTCAGATAATGTAATGCACTATATATTGTGCTATATATATAAAAAGGAAAACCGACACACTTTTTAGTGACGTATTTCTGGAATAAGGCCTCCCAGATAGTGCAACTCTATGCAGAGGATACATTCCTAGTTTTTCTTTGCATATTCATATTTAGCACTTTCATTAACTGTGAAACCATTTGCATTTGTAAGACTGCCATTCATGGCAAATAGAAATCTTAGAAAGTAAGATTCATGAGTGTGGCCTAAATAACCCAAATTATTTCTAAACCCCCAGTTTACATATAAAAACTAAAAAATAAACAAGACTAGAGTGGAAGATTCCTGTGACAAATTTTTATATGAATGTTAGGGAAGTGCATCTTTAAATGACTACATATATATTATTTAAGTATATCTGAATAGCCATTGAGAGTCATTCCTTTTCTTAAAGACTGGTTCCTTCAGGGTAAAAAGAAACCATCTAATAAGGGCATTTAATTTTACATGTAAAATAAATAAATAAATAAATAAATAAATAAATAAATAAGAGAGATACCTTTCTGTTCTTGTTATTTCTATAATTTTTTTTCTATGGCTTGATTTTGTCACAGAGTGCTACCCTGTTATGTTCTTGTTGCAGAATGATAAATAAATATTAACCTAGTAGGAACTGAGGGGACATTTCTCATTAGAAGATTATACTGGTAACTGTCTATGCTGAAAATGACCCAGATTAACAATGTAAACAAAATATATACATAATGCTATCTAGCTCCCCATCCTTGATAGAGATGCCTTTAGTTTCTGAATTAAATAAAACAATCAAAACCAAGAATTAATGACAACAATCTACATGAGAAACTCAAGTTTAAAGGCTGAAGCTTGTCCTCATGTCTCCAGAATCTGCTGGACATCAGGGGAAATTATTAGCATTTTTAGCTTTCTTCTGGATCAGTTCTAACAGAAATTAAATTAAGGCTAAAATCTCTCAGAGCTTCAATGTAGTTACCATTAATATACTAATCAAAGTTTCTAGACAGTTTCTACTTTCTTTATACAGATGAGGTAGAGATATTAAATAGGTTCATCCTACAGAATCAATTAAATTTTCAGAACTGGGTATTGAATTTGTTATTGTGAACATTTAGACCTAAATAAACACTTCTAGATTATACAGAAAGTTCTTACCTATTTCTATTGATCTGTTACAAAAAGCTGCAAGATATTACAACAATTATGTGAATTAATCATGTGTTTTCAATAGCATGCTCAGTAAAAAAACCTTAATATTTGGCTTTTAAGACATTGAATAATTGTGTATCAGAAAGCAAGATTTCTCTTGGCCTACATCAAACTAACAGTGCAGCAGGATCCTTCTCAGCAAAAAAGAGTATTTCTTGAATTTTACTGTGATTGTCTATCCGCTTCTGTGATTGTTTTTTTAATTCCGCACTATTATACAACACTTCTTTTTGCCTGGCATCTAACAGGCATTCCCGTCCTTTGCGTTTACTCCACTTCCTCAAAGCTGAGGCTGCAAAAACACAGCCAGCAGCCTCATACAGCTTTTCATGGAAAACTGCCATCCTAACTTGGCACCTAACTTCACGTTATTATTCTCACTCAGAGAAGTTTAAAACTCTGAGATGAATTTAAATATTTATGCTCGCAAAGAAACTGATTAAAAATATCAACACGCAATAAGAAATTGAAAACAATGTAAGCCATTACTGAAGTAGCTCTTCTTGTGAAAGTTCTGATGTTCTTTGTTTGCCAGTCACCAGCACAAGCTCATCCTTCAGCTCCTGGATCTCCTTTTTCAGTTGGACAATAATCTACAAACAGCAAGGCAGAAACCAAGCACCACCAATAGATTAATAGCTAGTTTATGATTTTCACATTAGAAGGCTGAGTGAAAGAAATAATATATTTTGAATTTCTCTTTTTCTAAACATCTCTTTTTTAAAAACAGTCCAAGTGCCTTAAATATACAAAGCTCTTTTTTTTTTCCTTTTCCATTTATATAAACAAGATAAGTCTTCCAAACCCTCTAAATTCTATGTGTTAGAAGACACGGCTGTACAGGAGTTCGAAAGATTGTTTGCAAAAGAAAAAATAATTTGCCAGAGGAATAAAAATGACTTTCTGACTATCAGTTTTGCCTGTTAGTAACCAAACCCCATTTGAAATAGAAGTGATGTTTTTGTTACGGAAAGGACAAATACACACCAAAAGTGATTTTTTTTTATAAAGAAACAGAAATTCCAAAATAGTATCTTAGTACTTTAATCTTAACTCTTCTTCTCTTGCTTGTAACTTTTCACTCTTATTAGAATTATAGCATACTATAATTATAGGATGTATCCATTGCTAACAACAAATAAGTAAGTTAACATTAAACTGCATTAATGAATAGTAATGATTGCAATCGTGACTTGGAGAACTGTACTTCATTTTTAAATTCTAATAGCTCATTATCGAAGCCTGTACCTTTGGGAAAAGTGCCTGTATGAAATGGTATTTTACAAATCATCAGCTTCCCAAGGCCAAATTCTACAAAGCAGGGACAATCCCTAAGTCTAAAACATAAATGAGCAAGTTCATGGATACTTTATGATTGAACTTTTTATTAGTGCATCACCTTATAATGGCTCAAATGTTTCAAGAATCCAATGGTATTTTTAGATGGATATGAATACATTGACTCAATGTGCAAACTAAGTTTTCAAGAGAAGAAAGTTTTCAAGGAAAAATTAATTATTGTTGATTGCATGCACTTTCTAGAAACAAGACTGTTGAAACTGATGACACATTTGCACTGGATGTTAACATTCCTTCAAACATTTGTGTTTCTTTTAATGATTAAATTTAACCATGATTTCCTAACTTTAAATGAGTATTTTTATTTCACAATTCAAAATAATCTAAACATACATATGATTATTTCTTTTAACTATAAACTTACTGGGTACACACTAGTATAAATATGAAAAGCAAACTTACAGTATTTTATATGAGAATCTATTAAGGTTAATTGTTAATTATTATTATTTGTTAATTACAGATGTTGCAAGAGTGCTTCACAAATCTTAGAGGTCAAACATTTTAACCTGATTTTAGGTTGCCTCACTCTGGTGGCACACTGATGTAGTCTGTGCCAGTTACTGAGTCAATAAAACAAAATTTGGGGTTGGAGTATAAAACGGAAAAAGCTGAACTGACAGCATCATCCCTGTTCAATGCTGAAATTGTTAGGATGGTTAACCTTAGTGAGACAACAACACAAATTTTCAGTATATGGATAAAAGACTGATTTTCAAGTATTATTAAAACAAACAAAAAATCTACAGAAGCACAACACTGAATGCTAGAGGAAATTAGAATTAATTTAACCTCAGCAACTTGGTTTTCATTTTAAAACAAATGCTTTGATCATAAGCTGTGCTGCTCATAAAGTACATTGAGTACAAGCTCATCTTCTTAGTAAGACACACAGCCAGGAAGTCTCCATTATGAAGAATATAATTTACACAAGTCAGATATGTCAAGAGGTATTATGCACTCCCTTTATAAAGCATTCATTCAACTTACAGATGATAAATACTGGAAATAAATGGCATTTGATTTAATGAAAAAAGATGTAGTCAAGCTCTTCACTGAATAAACAAGTTGCACCCTGGAAATATACTTTACGTGGTTAAGATGGGCAACAAATTCCTCAATGAGCACAGAGCCATATAAAATCTAGGTACCTGTGTTCCCCTGTCTTTTCCACAAGAGAGGATGATTTTCTAACTCGCATGAATCCACTTTTGCTTTACTTGCTAAATGATCCTGCAGAGCTAGACATACCAAACTCCGCAGGATATAGCTCACAGTATAGCTCCACAGGATGTGGCAAATGTAGTAATGTAGGAGCCTGCATGCGTTTCAGCCTCAGTCAAAGGCTTCTATGGCTATGGAAGAAAGTTTTGTGTGATTTGCTATGATACATATGAACATACATACATATGATACATACTATTTGCTACATATGAAACGAAAAAAAAAATTAATTGGTTCCTCGTACCAGTCTCAAGGAAGGACTGACACTGTTTCTTAGTGTTTTAATACACAAACTATTGCAATCCCATTCCCTCTGCCCCAAGACAACTCTCACCAATCTGGGGTCAATTTCTTCATTAAGAACTGCTTCATTCTTGATAAGAGCAACTCGCTGTGCAAATCTGCAGGTCGATATAGATTCCTGGAGGAAAAACAAACAATGAGAAGGAAAAATAAATTCACCTACCTTTGCACCCCGAGGTAAGTAGAACACACTGATTATGAAGTCATCAAACTACATTTCTGGGTTTTGCATATTTTACTGTAATAATCTATTATTTCATGTTCCAAACCAAGGATATTCAAGGGAAATTAGCGTAGCATATTAATGACAGTGACATATAAAACTGTCAAATCCTAGTACATTTCTTATTGACCCAATCTCCTGATCAACTGCTTTTCAAGTGAGTCCCCAGCTGGCACTAAAGGGCAAGAAAGCCTCAGAAGGTAAAAATTTTGAATGATGGGAAAAAGAGAAAATTAACTAATTTTTTTTTTTTTTTTGTGAAAATGAGACTAGGGAGGTGTATGTAAATGTAAAAGAATCTGGGAAAAAGAGATGAGTCTTATTGAGCCTGCTGCCAGCCAGCACCCAGATCTCTTTCTGCAGGGCTGCTCTGCAGCCACTCCTTTGACAATTTGTATTTGTGTTCCAATTCATATAGACTCCTCTTGCAAGGCCTCCTGTCCTTCAAGAGAGTCAACAGCACCTCCCAGTTTGGTATCATCAGAAAACTTGCTAATAGTGCCCTCAACTCCTGCATGCAGATCATTCATAATATTTTGAACAGAACTGGGCCTAGAACGGAACCCTGCAGAACACAGCTTGCCACCAGCCAGATTTGGCCCCATTCACTACAGCACTGTGATGAGTGATACAGCTCTTTTGGTAAACAAAGAGAAGAAATCATCACTATATATATACTTTCAGCACAGGAAATTAGTGAAAGGAGATAAAAGTATTAGAAATATTTTAAAGAATCTCAAATCACCCCATCCAATTCCCTCTACCCTGTCAACAAACTCTCCACTTTTCTGTCATACTCAGTGAAATCATGACTCCAAAGAAGTAAACAGTTATAGATATTACCATTATGTCCTCAAAGATTTATTCATCAGGAAAACAATAAATAAAAAAAAACACTCATTACTAAGTGCAATTTGTTTCCCAAGTGTTGCTTGAGATTACTTAGAGAAAAGCACATTTCTTAAAGGGTTAAAGGGTTTGTCTACATCTTATTGAAATTTCCACTGACAAAATTATCTCCTGGAAAAAAATTCAAAATGTTTTTCTGTAAGGATAAAAATGAAAGCATACACAGTTGAATTACAAACTGTAATAAAGGTCAGAAGAGCAGGATCTTTAGAGAAGTGAAAGCTTTTTTGTTGAAAATGGATAGAAATAACATACATCTATGTTTCGTTTGTCTATAGAGAGTGTTGCTATCATGGTAGTCATGCAGTTTCCTCCCAGGCTGTCTCTTAATACTGAGGTCATCATAGAGTTTCGATAAGGAATGTGGGACCGGTTTTTCTCTGCAAGGGCAATTATTACCTGAAACAGTAATAAAAAAATGGAAAAAAAATTAAATTTACGTGTCTATTAATGATTGATACATAAAAAGAACAAAAAAAATCTGCTCAGGAACCCAAACTTCTGATACAACAGAACTATGCTTATACATCCAGTTAGCTGCAAACTGATTTTATGGAAATAATTTCAACTTAAATTTCAGAGTGCTTATATGTCTTCGTAGGATCTGGACCTGAAAGACCAAATGAATATAACTTTATCATACCCTAGCTTTACAGCCTCTTAGCAACATAGAAACTGAACACCATAAACCAAAACCCACAGACTTTCCTAAGACAGAGGAACTTACTGAAACTATTCTTCATATTTTTTCTGTCATAATAATAAAGTATGAATAGTATTCAAGTAAAAATTTCTTTAACACTTGCTAAAGCATGCTTTTAATATTACACATTCTTAAAGCATATGGTTCTTAGAGGGATCAATACATTTATTTCTGAGAAAGCGTCTTGAAAAATAAAACACAAATAAGAGTGCATGATTGCAATGTACTGTTGGAAAGAAATAATTCAGTTTAGTATATGCATGCCTTGGCCAAAAAGGAAATGGTACACCTACTATTCTCAGTTTCTTTCTCAGCTGTTTACTTTATGGGACCTAATTATTATTAAATAAAAAGCTAGATTATCCCATGATCTGTTGTGATACAAATATTTGAACTGTTATCTGGCCAAGAACTGTACCAAAAGACTGTAGCTATATGACTTCTGCAAGCTATCCAAAATGATTAGGATTTTTTTTTTCTTTTACAAATGTTACACACCAGCATACATTTTGTTTACACTGCACTTAAAAGACATTATTTTAGAAAATTTGGTATCATTTTTTTTGTTGGTGCTATTTTTTCTTACTGGTCTTCAGAAGCTAAAATGTCTTATTTCTATAAATCTTACACTGGCAGCCCTAAGAAGGTCAAATACATAATATGAAAACAACTATCTTTTAAAGGAATCTAGAAAGGCATTCTTGTACCAAGATTTTCAACTCTTATTTATTACAACTTGGAAATATATCACTGTTAGTTTATAATATTGCATAGAAACTTCAAAGTCGAGTATGTACGTTAATAAACATTTTCTCAGTCTCTGCCACACAGAGACTACTATCTGAATAGACATGAAGGGAAAAGAGACAGAGGGAAAAGACGTTATTTCCATTAAGAATGGGAGCTGCGTTACAGAGGAGTTCATTTTTCTGAAGTTCACGCTGAAAGCCTGTAGCCCAGGAAGAATCTGAACCCTCCCATGCTGGCACTGAAGTGGCCAGGTCTCATAACACAGAAGCCACTGAACTGTCATATGAGAGACAATGCAGCTCACAAGATGATGTGTTTAATAAAATCTCACTTAAACCACTAAATCAACCTTTACAATCCAGTCAAGGAACTTCTAATAGAAAAAGGAGAGTTCGGAAAGAGTGGGATTTTGGGGTGCATGCCTTTGTAGGTACAGAGTATCTCTCTATATATGATATGTATATATGATAGATGTATATATGATATATACAAGATATAAATGCAGTTGATAGCTCTGTATACAAGGTTTTTTAATGTATTATGGATGTTTAACAAGTAGATCAAGTGTGATAACACAAAACTGTGTTCCCATTGTCATCTTGACAGAAATAATTTTATGTGACTACTTCATTATGCAAGGTGTTTAGAAACGGCATAACTCAAAGCTAAAAGAGGGTTCTCCCTGCTCTCCATTATTTAGTTTGCCAATGACACCAAGCTGTGTGGTTCGGTTGATACCCTGGAGGGAAGGAATGCCATCCAGAGGGACCTTGACACGCTTGTGAGGTGGGCTGATGCCAGCCTCATGAAGTTTAACCATGACAAGTGCAAGGTCCTATACCTGGGTCGGAGCAGTCCCAGGCACAGCTACAGGTTGGGCAGAGAAGAGATTCAGAGCAGCCCTGCAGAGAAGGACTTGGGGGTGTTGGTTGATGAGAAAATGTACATGAGCTGGCTTCAGTGTGTGCTTGCAGCCCAGAAAGCCAACTGTATCCTGGGCTGCATCAAAAGGAGCGTGACCAGCAGGTTGAAGGAGGTGATCCTGCCCCACTACTCTGCTCTCGTGAGACCTCACCTGGAGTATTGTGTGCAGTTCTGGTGTCCTCAACATAAAAAGGACATGGAGCTGTTGGAACAAGTCCAGAGAAGGGCCACAAGGGTGATCAGGGGACTGGAGCACCTCCCCTATGAAGGTAGGCTGAGAAAGTCGGGGTTGTTCAGCCTGGAGAAGAGAAGGCTGTGTGGAGACCTCATAGCAGCCTTCCAGTATCTGAAGGGGGCCTACAGGGATGCTGGGGATGGACTCTTCATTAGGGACCGTAGTGACAGGACAAGGGGTAATGGGTTAAAACTTAAAAAAGGGAAGTTTAGATTGGATATAAGGAGGAAATTCTTTCCTGTTAGGGTGGCGAGGCACTGGAATGGGTTGCTCAGGGAGGTTGTGAATGCTCCATCCCTGGCAGTGTTCAAGACCAGGTTGGACGAGGCCTTGGGTGACATGGTTTAGTGTGAGGTGTCCCTGCCCATGGCAGGGGGGTTGGAACTAGATGATCTTAAGGCCCTTTCCAACCCTAACTATTCTATGATTCTAAAACACCAGTAGATATCTAACTACTAGAGCGTGTAAATAAGCTGATTTTGAGGAATCCTCGTACTTTAATGTTGGTTACTGCAAGGTCAGTAACTAATGGCCGAATTCCCACTGAACAAAAACGATTTTTTACTGTCTTCAGTAGACTTCTATTCAGTATTAGAAAACTGTCTTAATTAACACAATCCCAGCCAGTTGTACTTTCCATGAATGCAACTGAAATGCAGACTTTTTTTCTGTAAGGGGGGGGGGGGGGGTAGGAAAAAAATTTAGTTTAATAGTACATGACTGGCTGCCATCTGCTGTGCCTTAAGCTTCTTCTTTTGGCAGTTGAAATATCTCTGATTATAGCTTAAATGAAATCTAAGGGATTTATTTTTGTTAACAGAAAAAGACAACACAAAAATGAAAAAGTTTCTTCACAGTAAGTGGAACAATCAGTTCTATTTCTTAACTGTAATTTTAAAGAATTTTGACATACAGACACCCACAAAATTTTATGCTTTTATTAATTTCCTCAAGTGTAAATTTGTGTAAGCCACACTTACACTGGAGTATTAATGAAAAGGGACAAATCTAAATTTTAATTTTGAGCACTTTTTCTTCTCCCTCTCATTCCCTTATTTCTCTCACAAAATGACAGGCTCACAGACCTGCTAATATCGTATATAGACATTTTTAAAGAAGCCTTAAGAAATGTATTCTCCATCAGAACTCAGAAAAATAATTACTTTCTGGCAACAAGAACAGTATTTACTGTACTGTGAAAACAACATTATGTATTTCTTAGGGGGTAATGTCTAAAATCCACACTTGAAACTCTTCAGTGATTGCAACTTAATATCACAGCATCCATGAAAGAGATTTCATTGACTGTCGTTTCTTACCCTTGGAGTTTTACTGCATTAAAATACAAAAGATTGCAAGAGATCAGGAAGACATAAGACGTGCACTAAGCTTTTATAAATTGGCATAAATGTCTTTTAGCAATACCACAAATACGAAGCCAAAAAGAAATACCTCAAAAGAAGGAATGCTATGGTATACAAACCATGTCTATCAGGATAGTGTAAAGAAGAGATGAGTACTAGAAAAGAAGGAGAGTGTGAACAGCCTTCAACATCACACTTGTCGCATTCATAAAAAATTATGAGGATCCTAAAATGCAATATATATTTCCAGTCATGAAGAGAAAATTAGATCAGATCAGTGAAGGAAAAACAATTAAACCTCTATAATGATGATAATAATAATAGTAACAACAATAACAAAATTATTAGAGCAGCAGCAACAACAATAATAATAATAATTATTATTGTTTATAATAATGATAATTTATTGACCAAATCTTTCTACTGGAATAGGTTATCTTCAAAGTTTCCATTCACCACCGTTACCTTACTTTATTCTTTGTTTCTTAAAAAAAAAATAAAATAAAAAATTAGTCAGATTACTTGGGATTACCTTAATTTATTCTGTTTCTTTTTTTTAAAAAAAAAAAAATTAGTCAGATTACTTGGGATTAATTTACTTTCTCAATATTTGCCTTTTCCAAAGAGCAAAAATAAAAAACAACAGTGAAAGGAAGATAGGCATTTTAATATGCCTTAAATCAACATGCTAAACCTTTCTCAGTAACAACAGCTGAATAATAAAGATTTGTGGAAATTCATTATTATTATTGCAGTTGCATCTGAGAGTCCTATTGTTACAAACCCAATTGTGGTAGTCCATAAATACACCAACAGAGATAACTCCTATCTGAAAGACTGAAGATTCACATTGGTCGAGGAAAAAAACAACACTAGAGAGAAGAGCCTAATATTTTACAATATACAATGCTCGAAGCAAAAAAAACCTAAACCCCAGTCACTTTAGTTCAATGATTCATATATTCTGTTACCAGATGTGGAAGGGAAAGAAAATCACAAAAGAACATTATTAGTAGAAATATTACTGTAAATATCTTAAGCATTCAAAATAAAATAAGAAAACTACTGTTAAATTACTACCATTTATACCTACCATAACCTTACTGGTTAATTGTTAAGCTTTTCCTAAATTAAAATCATATTTCAAATTAAGAGCTATCAACTCACACATTTTTCAAAAATGCCATAAATATTCTAAGTAAGTATTAGAATCAGGATTTCTGAAACACTGCATATTGCTAAATAGCAATGCTAAATAGCAATGTTGTAAAGGGAGAAACTGCATCACGGTTCCAATTTTACCTGTTCCAAATAATGTAATGAAAGGTTGATATATTTGGCTTCTGTCAATAGGTGACCTCCAACTCCAGTCTTTGCAACACGCTCTGATCCAGCAAGGTCTACTAAGTGTAACTTGGAGCGTCTAATAGTTGCAGATCCAGGTTCCTTGCTAGAGATGTGAATAGTGAAAATGCAGTGAGATCGGGATGAGGCTTGATTCATTGGAGTCTACAAGGAAAAGAAAGGAACAGCCCTTACTGTTTATTCAATAAATAATTTTAGCTTTGTATATAGCTCAATAATCTAGCAACTGAAATCACCTATACAATTTTTTTAGCTATTACATCTATAATAAATATGCAAGAACCCAAAAGGGTTTCCCTGGCACTCAAATCTGGCCAAATACTTGGATAACTCTGATATGGACAAATTGTACTGCAAGAAAGCAAGCAACTATCGTTGTTCCAAGATACTTTAACAGGCAGTACATCCAGAAAGGACAGATCTTAACAGAAAGGCTTGCTTAACAGCAAGTTGAACAATCCTTTACCGGGAATAATATTAACATCTATACCTCTTGGTTGAACTGTCTCCCCTTTAATTTCCCAATACTTTTTTCCCAACCTCAATAGTGACAGCACAACTGAACTTTTTCTGGGAACTGATCCACCTCAATGAAAAAAAAAAACAAACAACAGAAGAGAAAAGAAAGAAAGAAAGAAAAAATGTCTGCAAACCATAGATATTTAACCTGGATCAGCTTCCCAATTCAGTCACAGTGCAGCTGTAGAAAGCAGCTCTGCTAGATAACTGAAAATGGTAGCATACATCATGTGAACAAAAAGGTGGTGTGCAGCAACTGCAAATGTTTGTAGTTGGTGAAAATTCTGTAATGAAATTACAGCCTTAGCACTACTTTATTTTGGGCTGCTTTACCTAATAAATCCAAGCTCAGAGGGAAAGGGAGAAGAGTTTTGATCATTAGTTTATATAGATGAGGAATTTTTGAATAATATAGGCAAGCAACTGTCTCTGCTTAACTGCCTAATTTCTGAGGATCATTTCACAATCCTGTGAAATGAGCATCAGAGTGCAGTTATGTGCTATGCTACCTTCAGAGGCTATGCTGAACAAATGAAGGGACAGTGAGCTGTAGCATGGAAATGAAAATAAACAGGCTTAGGGAAAAGTGTCAAGCAACAAAACAGTCCCAAATATATTTAAATTGCAGTTATACTAAGAAAATGTTACATGCTGTTAAAATGTACTTTATTCAGCAATTCTGATTCCATGAATAATCAGAGCCAGTTTCACTTATTTTACTAGGAGAGCTAAAATTTTACTAGTTTCTGTTCTGTGCAGTAGGAACATATATTTTACTTTTCCAGATCAAAATCCACAAAGGGATTAATATTTCAGGACATTCTCCTTAACGGAATTGATATTTGAGGACATTTTGCACTACAGTCATAGCATCAGTCATACTATATTGCAGACAAGTTTAAACCAGATCAAATATCAATACAGGTCTAGCTGTGGAAGCACAAAGTAAAGGTTGCTATGAAAGAAGCAGAAAAAAAAAATCATCATTATTCAGAGAAAGCATTCTTAAGCAAACTTAAGTTTCACAATGCAGCAAACACTCATGTATTTTAAAATGTGCTTTTAGTCACACCTGCTTAACCCCAACAGAGGCAAAAAAAAAAAAAATAAATTAAAGTATGAAATAAAATTATGTCAGGATTTTGAGCTCCAAAAACTCAGGGCAGTATTTGGCCTATTAGGTCCTTATTGGCTATAGCAATACATTAGCCACAATTTGTTTTGCGTGGTCTAAGCAGTTTTTGTTGGACGGGTCCATTGCTTTTCTCCCCACAACTTCTTAATGATTGAAGCTGATCTGGAAGTTATAGGCTAGCATCCCCAACTGCTATTTTTATAAAGACCTTCTTCAGACTAGAACCATGCTTCAATTAATACATTGATACTCCTTTTTACAATATGATTCTATCTCCACTTTGCAGCTCCAGTATATAGCTCAATTAGAACTCTTGCAGGAAATGTAAAGTAGTAAAAATTTAAACTGTTAAATGGGATGCGATCATGAAATGTTAATTGCAGGCATTATCCCACACACTTTGCTACTTTTACCACACAAATAGATGCAAACCACACAGCAACAGAAATAACAAGTTGCCAGCATCTTCAGCCCAAAAATGAGCCTGTTTGTTCGTTTGATTGTTGCCTTACATAGGCAACTTCTGAGTATCACCATTCAGCTGTACAGAAAATTTGAAAACTGAAAACAAACAAACAATATTTTCTGGACAGTGTCTCAGAGCCTACTACAAGGCTCTTCTAGTGGCTTTCAGAGTGCATTTTGGCATTGCTAGCAGTATTCAAACCATATGTATATAAAATCATCCTCACACTAATTTGATGTGATGAAGGAAAAAAAAAGAAAGAGGAGAGTGTCCTGGCTCTCAGCAGATGGTTGCTATTGTGAAAGTTATATACAGAACAAATGATGAGCTGCAGTCACTTACAAAGAAATAATTTTTCCTGGAATTCTGTGACATCATAAACCACATAAGCAGACTTCAGACGCTTTGTGAAATCACGTGAACACTGCAAAGGAATTAATGCCAAATCATCTGTTGCTGCCCATTTGTGTCATGGTAAAAGAGGAATTCTTTCAAGATCATGACTTGGTAAAGCATCAGTGTTTTGATTGTTCTTGGAAAATATGTAAAGAGCTATTTCAAACCATACAACCCAGACTCCCTTTTCTTCAGGGCCAGAACATACCTATGTTTGCTGAAACTAAAAGAAAAATGTACAGAAGCTTTGTAACTTAAACCATTATTTCTATTCATACAACAGCTGCAAAAAGGTAATTTCTACTTAAATGAGAATCTGCAGCACAGCCATTTCAGAAGAAACATCCAAGTCGAATGGTTCTGTCTAGGAATACAAGATCATGAAAGGTCAAAAAACTTGCTGGAGCCTAAGTAAGCTATTTAGCTTAATATAATTAGTACCTTAAACCAAGAAAACACTGTATGAGTTCCTCCCTGTACAAGAATGTATATATTTCTTGAATCCTTTATTTTTTTCAGCTGCTATTATAAACAGGTTTCGCTAAGAAGAATAGCCAGAAATAGGATGATACTGGTCTAAACTGAGTTCTTGATAATTGAGGACCTAAGAAGGAAAAAGTTTTTTAAATAGGAGAAAAACATATGTAAAACTGTTTGAAAACCACCATTAGACTAACAGAAGCTGTTGTTGATTACAGCTGCCAAAGAGATACAGAAAATACAGAAAAAAGTTCAGGACAGCTGAGACAAAAAGATTTCACAGGTGATAAATGCAGCCATTCAGCCCATATTGCAAACCATCTCCACTTGACAGTTTATACAGTTCTAGTGGAATCTTTTACTCTTTGAATCAAAATATTTAGACATCAGAAGAACATGATATTCCTGTGTGAGTGAATTCATAACTAACTGAGGCATAAATGAAGAACACTGATTCTGAACACCTCCCCCTGGCTTTTTTTCTAGGGAATGTCTCAGTGAAAATGTACAAGATTTCATTTTAAGAAGGGTTTCTATTTCCTCCTTCTCCCTCCCAACTTTTGAGATTTTTAAAGAAAGGCAAGGTGAAAGAGAAAAGTAACGATAGCATACAAAGCTGATATCAAATCATTTTCTCCAGTCTCAAGGTACAATCAGATTGATACCTGTAGGAAGAAGTTTTGAAAGCTTCAGTCATTTCACAGTTTAGATGGTAAGAAAAGAGCTATTGTATCCTATAAGAATGATAATAAATCAATATAACACCTTTTTTTTCTCTGGCTGAAACTTGTGTAGAACATTCTGATGTCTTCACATTATTAATTTATAACAGATAATGTCGTAAGTCTCTGCAAGTCTAAAGGAGCAGAGACTCTGTTGAAAACAGTGTCTGTATCTGCACAACGAATATAAACCCCACCAGTTCCAACAGAACCATTCCATTTAGAAGGCTATGTAAGTTGAAAAACGGGAGGTTCCTGCTTTTATATCTGGTAGACAAGCAAGATCTTCATACATTTTTGGTTTCTTTTCTGATTAATAAGGTACAAGCAAAGGGGCTTTCCAGGTGTGTACTTAAGAACACTTGACAGTTGAAATTGAAAACCTATTGCTACGAAAATGTAAGTATCAGAATAGGTGCAATCTGACACTTCCCTGATTTCTAAAAGCACTACTTTAGTACCTTGCAGTTTTTACTACCAGTGCAGTTTCACAGTTAGAACATGGTTAACTGAGGTAATTTTAAGCAATTAATATTCCCTGGTGAGGATAACATTAAACTTCACATTATACACTGCCTTTTATCTGTACAAATCCCAAAGCACTCTAAGGACTATTCAAAGTAGTACATATGACCAACGATTGTTTTACCACACACGGAAATGAAAGCACCTGTGCTAAAATGATAATCCTGTTTGGTGCTAATAATACTATAGAACAGGCTTGTCAGATTGGAAATAAATTAACAACTGACAGCGACAAGGAAAGCAGAAAATTGTATTTCATTCTGGAATGCAGCTCTAACATGGATAACATGCCTTCTTGGCAAAAGTGTCATTTAATCTCTATGTTCACATATTCAAGTTCTATTTTTCAAATTTCATCCAATGCATTCACACATTACCAGGAGCTTTCTAAATATATGTCTGAGAATACTAATGGACAATAAAAATAAATACAAAGGGAATGAGTCCAATTCAGAGGTCACAAGTCAGTCCTCACAACTATCTTTAAATGTTCAGAAATTTCATTCTTTTTTGAAATAAACATACTTAAGCATTGCCAAAAGGTTACTGCTTGCGGACATTTGAAATGATGCAACAAATGCTATGTAGTATGAGCTGTGTTCCAAATTTAAACAATGGAGTATTATAGGTACAAACCCACACACTAAAACATTCCCATCCTCATTAAAATTAAGCAGTTTTTCAGTAGAAAAAGGACAAATGCTAACCGCATATGTAACTGCAGTGTTCAGACATACCAATTTCACATAAAGATTACAGTTTTGAAATTTGTGCATGCTCTTGGGAAGCTACTGGCTCTACATTATGCTGCTATTTTAAGAGAAATACTAAAAAAGCATGAGGAATTCTCTGTATCATAGAGGCTTGATCAGGCATATTATTTCAACAGACAGTGATCTGTCCCTTGAAACGCTTCTTCCCCTGGGCCCAGGTGTACATGGTCAGACAGGAGGAACACATAGCTACTTAAGTATTTCATACATGTTAAATATCTTTCTTGTCATTGATTCATTACATATATTTTTGGTCAGAGGAAGAAAACCTACGATTTCTAAAACAGAATTAGCTGTGTTTAGTAAAGACACATTGACAGTGCTCACATTTTACAGTACCCTTTTAATATTTACATTCAATTTCCAATGGGAAGATAAGAAAAAAATACCCAACCTAAAAACCCTACAGATATTGGATATGGAAACACTTCCTTTGAATTTTCCAGAATCAGTGAGAAGTCCCATGTCTCTGTGTATTGTCAAATATTTATTTTGATTGTGTTCCAGACTACCATTTCTTTTTTTGTACATAACACAATGTGTTTATGTGATAGGAAGAAAAAAGTAGGAACTGCTGACTCTTACACTAGCTACTTCAAAGGCAATTTAGTACTTCTGTGGGACTATTTGATAATGCTTTGTAAAACCATGCATTCTAATCTTTAAATGCATATGTATGTTGATGTAAGTCACATTCCAATGTCAGTCTATGGTTTATGAGCAATTTTTTTTTCTTATTTTAATTGCAGTAAGTTATGACATCAATAACCACCAATCAGATTCACTAAGGGAAAAGAGAAAGCACTTTGCAAAGTGAAAGCTATTATCAGAGAAATGCTTACTTAATTTCCCTGTGGAAATACACTTAGAAAGAAGATTAGTAATTTATCTCCATAGACTTCAAACTAGACATCTTTCATGGAGAGGTTTCTGACAATTTTAACTCTGGTGGTGTTAAGTAAGATTTACAGCAGCAACTCTCACCTCAGCAATCATCCTATTGGTGTCTCCGAGGAAGAGTAGGTTTAAGGCTTCCTCTTCATTGGTTGCTTGCTGAAGAGACAAGTTTTTCAGGTGAATGTTCTGATCAGGGTCTTCCATTATTGTCACTTTTCTAAGTGGAGGGAAAAAAAAAAAAAAAAAGAAAACTAGGATTGTTGTAAGGAAATCTTTGTTCCATACCATGACAATACTTCATTTTGATTATGAGTAAAAGGTGACATCATAAACCCCAAACCAATTACAATAAAAGCACTAAAAACATGAAGAGTAAACAATGAGCATTAAAGGAAGCGCTGACTCTTTTTCAGTTCTGTCACTGTCTTCTTATTTCTTTACTATAAAATTCCTTATATACACACAACCTGTAACTATTAGAGAAAGCTTCGGGATTTATTTTTTAAACAAATAATAAGTAGAGGTTTGTTTTCTACTACCACAGCTATTTAAACACAAATGATACATAAAGCATACCATAACCTTGATGAATAAATAGGCATGGAATATATTTCAGAATCAACACATCTGTGGCCAATATGTTTATAATAACTTTGCATTTGTCAAGATTATTTCTCTTTTCACTCTTCTCAAATGGTAGTAAGTACAACTGTGAATGATCCCTTTCTTAAATTAAAAGCAAGCAAACAATTTTATTCATTGTCACTGAGGTTAGAAATGCTTTTAGTTGTACTTTAAGCCTAAAAGGTCAGAAAAAGGAAGTTGGATGGAAGTATCAAGGATATGACAAAGGTTCCAGAAAAGCTACTTAGTAATACTGAAACACTTTTTCACTTATTTAAGTAACCCTTTTACACAAGAATATTTTCTTTTGATCAAGTTACTGAGAGTTAAACTACTGGCTTTAGTGAGTAGACACCGGGGTCTCCTCTGTTAGGGCATTCCATAGTATTCAACATGGAAGCCAAGTAGTTGCACCACTGGATTTGGAAAACTCCCAGAGTGAAGATTCTATTAAAATTGAAGTACGTGAATTTTGAAGATGAATGACACCTCCTTCAAGGTTAATTATATATTCTGGAGACAGTTTACAACAAGCAAATCATAACTTTTTAAAAAGTTAGATTTTTTTTTAAAACATTTTTTTTCTTTAGGTGTAGATGATACTTTACCTATATATGCACACACAATACATATATATATATACACACACACACACACACATATACGTTTGGGGTTGGTTTTTTTGTTTGGTTTGTTTTTTGTTTTTTTTTTCCGTAATCTTCAAGTTTAACCACAAGAGGGAGTATGGGGTTTGAGTTGCTATCTCTAGCTAGTACTTGCATGTTAATTACTACAACCTGCTTCAAAAATCACACAGGCTGGGCTTTGTTCTGGTTTCCTTGTCCTTCTTTCCCCAAAACTGACAGAATAAAATTTCACAGCTAAGCAGCATTCCATAGTACTACTCTTAAGTATTAAGGAATTAATTCACACTGTGATGGTCAGAACGCTGGAATGAATATACAGAAATAATCTGAACACAATGCAATACGCTCCCTATTTGCAAGGAAAAAATACATGTAAAAGCACACATAATGCTTCTTTAGTAGTCATAACAAGTTTCTAAGTTTGACTGCTTCTCACCTAAGGCCTTATTTTTGTGTGATAGGTTAAGCGCGGTAGTACAATCATGAAAATCTACTTCCCCATTCAGAGCATAAACCCAAAAGCAAAATTTTGCTCTCATGTAACAGTTTTGATAATGTCAAGTTATTTTCTGCCTGCAGTTCCATCAGCGTGTGCGTGACATGCTAAAGCCCAGAGTGGTTCCCATTACAGTATGATGCTTTGACTGATTGTAATATTTTGAAATTACATGGTGAGCATCATCTACCTCTTTTTATAATTTAGGAAGACAATGTTGTTTTATTATGTGCACTTGGCATAGTATTTAAACTTTTAAGGATCTTTTCAGACCACATTTTGATCAATGTTATAAATAATTTCCAGACAAGATATTAGTTCGGACAAAAAGCCCTGGAGGACTATCATACAAGAAAGAAGACAGTGAAGACATCACAAACCAGTGACAGCCTGCTATACCAGGGCCTTGCAGTTCCTTGGAGGACTTCCAGATGGAAACCTAAATTTTCAAATCTTGAGAAGCATCTGCCAAAACTTTCTTAGAAACACATTCCAAAATGACAAAAAAATTATTTATTTTATAGTGCTATAAAGTTAATATATACTGTGATAATAGATTTCTATGGAACATTCTATTAGTGAAATCTTTAAGTTTCATAGCCCTAACCTGGAGTGGAAAAGCTCTGTTAAGTTATCCAAAATGACTGAAAGAAGGCAGAGACAAGGTTTTGCAGTCTTTATAAACAAAGAATCATTTCCATTTGGTTTAATGGATGGAATTTGGGGCTGCCTGGGGAAACTGTAGGATTGGATCAGCCTTTTTTATACTGTTGTTAACTCAGGCCCCTTCCTGCTTCAACTGAGCTGCCATTAATGCAAAAGAACCTCATGCACTGAATTATTTCATTTATAATATTCCTGCTACTGGCAAACAATGAAGTTAAAACTTCCTTTGAGTACTTAATATCACCTCATGATAACAATAACAAACTTCAAATGTTTTGGAAAAGAAATAACAATTTAAAAATTCAAGTTTCCTATCATTTCTATCTGTGTCTGGGGTTTAAAATAGCAGAAATCTAAAATAATCTCGAAAACTTTAGAAGTATTTAAAAATAATGATGCAAAGAAATATTATATGAGGATACATACCTTCTATGACAACACATTAGCAGAATATAGTGATAATACTTCAGCATCAGGAGAAGCCTATTCAGCCAATAATAAATTTAGAAAAAAGAGAAAAGAGAAAAGCAGCAAGCATGCATCTTGAAGTCTGTCCAGAAGAACTAATGGATAGCTATCATTAATCCTGTTTCAAGTTGCAGGGAGCTTCAGGTTTTAATAAAGAATGATCATCATTTTACATATAATTCAAAAAAATATCAATCAGAAGTATAGCTCCCTGAATACCACATCAGAGGACAAATTCGACACTGATTCAAGAGGCAAGATAAGTTATTCGGCTATTCAGCACAGCTTTCAATAGCCCAGAGATTTTATTTCCCATTCAAGTATAGACCTTCAGCATAATCTCCTTAGCTTGTGAGACATGACAGAACTACGAGTATTAGTGTAATCTGTTCTTCTGACACATCATTATTGCAATAGGAAATCCTTCCCACAGTCTCCAACAAACTCTACATGTGAGACAAGAAAACCAGTGTGCTTATTCTAGCTTGTGTACTGATTCTAACTGTCAGATTGCTCTACATTTAGGAGTTAGGGATCCATGTAACAGTTAACAGGAGCAGGCACAGCCTTTGCTGTGTTGCACGCACAATTTAGCATTTCAGGCCCCTGTCCTGCTGCACAGACTCCTTGGCTGCAGGATAAATTCAGCCAGGTCATCTTAGCAGAAGACTTGGAGGCAGCTCCCACCAGGTCATCACACCCCCCGCACGGCCTTGCCTTTATCAAAAGATGCCATAAGAAGTTCTCATAAGAACACCTTTTAGAAATGGAGCTGTTTCCTTGTAAGGAATCATATCATAGCTTGAATGGAGGGATCCTGTCTCTCCAAGAACAGGATCTGAGCTCCTCTGTGTAGTGTGCCATGGGGAAATCCATTTAGGCTCCACCCAATGCTGCAAGAATACAGAGGGCTCTGGGGGCAGCATCCCATGGGATGGGATGGGATGCCCCAAGGTTTACTTGCCATCTATACTCCTCTTATTTTGTCTTGTCAAAGCAGTTACTTTGTTAAGCCATCTGTTGTCAGGCCTTTCTTACTGAGATCTGAAAAAAGCCCTGCTGTCTTCACTGTCTTCACTGCCCTCTCACCCTACCCTGCAGAACAAGAAGTCGGAACCTAAACTATGAAATTGGTGGGTCATGGACAAACAAACCATGTAAGATCTGTTAGAATTTGCAATGTAATGTCACTCACAAAAAGTGTTTGTTAAAAAATACTTTGATATTCAAAAGTAGCCTTGAACAGCACAGTAATGATATAAACTGAATCAATTTACTCATCTAACACCTTTAGAAAAGTGACCTCAGAAAAGTTTCACTCACTTCTTCCTACTGTTTTTCAGGGAACAAAACATAAAATCTGGATAGGAATAACTTCAGCATACATTACATATCGTTTATTTTACACATCTCTTTGAAATGTAATGAACAAAATCTTTGAAAAATGATTCATAACAGTTTTCAGCTGTCTTTTTATTAACATCAGAAAACCTTATATTTACAAACCTTTGTATTCTCTTAATCTTAGTATTTAGTAGTAACACATTAAGCACTCTTCATTTTCCAGAATGTATTTCATATGAAACAAGTGAGCAATATCATTATTAGCCTTAGAAATTTTAAACCCTTGGTAATTCGCAACACACTGAAAATACAGATTTTGAAGATTTATTGGTGGTGGCCAGTTTCTAGATTACATAGTTGGTACAGCCACTGAAAAGGGGAAGAGCTGACATTAACAGTGTTGAGCCTGGAGACTGAACAGGTTTATTTGAAACAAAAAAAACCCAGACCAAATAAAATATATAAAATATATTCCCTCTAAGTTGAAAAATATTCCTTTAGCTACTTTTTGTCTGGTTGGTTGGTTTTGTTTTTTTTGTTTTGTTATTCATTTGAGGTAGTTAACCAATATTTAGTTACAGGAGGGGTTTTAAGTGAAAATATTTTCTGTTCCCTGGGGTCAGTATAACAGTTCTGCTTGATCCTAATAGGTATTGATATAGTTATCATTGCTGATGTTTGAAGTTAATTGGCTCTTAAAGTGTCTTCTTTTTCATGGAATTGAATTCACTTGAACTATAGACTTCATATTTCTGGAGCATAAACTGAAAGTGAATTCTCAGAGGTTCCAATACAAATTAACTGGGTGGGTTTTTTTTTTTTTAAAGTCATCATCATAAACCTTATGTATTTCCCTGTTAAAGGGGAATCACACTGACTGGAAGCTTAGATTCCATCTTTCCCATGCCACATCACACCTGATGAGTGGTTATGTGAGCTCCCCATAAAGCAGCTCATCAACTACTGCAGTTTTAAAGACTGAAGTTTTTAGGTAAAAGAGCATTAATTTTAGTTTACCTTCACATTCCATAGTTTGGACATGTAAAATGTGGTTGTCCTAACTTAATCTATGAATAACAGTTGTAGAATCTTAGTCTTTATTTTTGTGTTATTGTTCAGTGCCAAGAAAATTCCTATTTGTTAATAAATAATACAAACTAGTTAAAAAGAGTTTGTACTGATAGATCATATAACTAAAGTGAAAATGGTTTGATTCAGTATCATGGAGTTACATAAATTACAAATACAATGTACAACAAAGAATCTGTTAGAGGAGAAAGCCTCTTGCACAACTGCAAAGCAAATGAAGAGCTTCAAAAAAATTTTCCTAATTTGAAAAGTCCTGCAAATCTTTTATGAAAACTAGAGATGGCAGTAAGAATTCAGTCTTCTACCAGCTGCATTTCATAGCAATAGCTTTATACTTTTTACACTTTTGAAAACAATCATAATTTCCTTGTATAAACATGGAACTCTCTGCAGCTACATCAAAATTAGATTGTCAGTATTAAATTCAAATTTTGCATTACAGTAAGATTCTTCAGATGCATTTGCATCTGCATATGTTGTGTTTCAGCTACAATGTCACAAAATTAAAACACTGTCAGCTTTGCATAACAAAACAACTTACAGCTGTAAACTACGGCATATTGTATTATGAAACAATAAGGCATATCAAATGATATCCTCTATGGGCTACATGTAATACCATTAGAACTAAACATCATGAAAACTGTTGTTTTTTTCCCGTAAAAATAAGTTTCAAATCTGTACCTATTAGAATCATAATACATATTTATGCATGCATAAATATGTATATGTGTACATACCTACATATGCACACAAAATAAATATGTAATTCTTTATTTGAATCTACAAACATATACCTATCCATATAGACATACAGACATACATTAACACATTTGTCAGGAATTTCTTTCTAGAAAAATGATTTTTTTTTGTGAGTCCTTCTTCCCTTCTCATCTATCAGACTAATGAAACCGTTAAGCAGTATTAAGATGAAAACTTAATAGTCCACAGAATATACAAGGGATGGCTACACATAAAACCTTGACTTCAGGAGCTGAGATTCCAAATCTAATCATGCCATAATTAGATACAATGGACAACTTAAAAAAATTGTATTATTCACTTTGCCTTGAACATCAAATACAATTTTAATATCTTGTTTTCAAGTACTATCAAGAAGTCTGTTGTGCATTTTCCTAACCTCTATTACCTGAATACCAGCACATTGTGTTTACTCCCTCCATTGAACTGATAATGGAAAGTGTTCAACATAAAGTTTGCTAGGCAGAAGTACGTATCTTTGGTTCAAATTGCATCCCTTTCTTCTGCAGCAATATGGATAACAATACTGTTCCAAACCAAACTGCATACTTCATGAGAATAGCTAATCTTCTGCTTACTCTTCTAAAATGATACATTCCTTCAACACTCTTCTTGTCCATCTTACATACTTGTGAGAATATCAACACAGACTACTAATAGTTACCTAAGCACAAAAACCCTGCATTTGGCTTTATACGGTGCTTAAAAATTTGATGATCCACTGCGGAGTTCAACAGGAAATTATGCGTAATATGACCCTTCCAAGGTACAAAACCCATAAATTAATTTTAATATTCTCATTAAATACATGCTTTCAAACAAACTTGGGGAAATTAGATTATTCTGTATTTTCCTTACTAACGCTAAAGTCTTAGAAGGTCTTCAGCACATAAAATTCTCAGAAGAATGAAATATATTTAAGGTAATAAACACCTGATATATTTTAAAATATGTGATAACTATTTACTTACATGAATCAAGTAACTAAAATATAGTTAGTCATATAACTACACTTTCCTGCACTTTGCACTCCCATTCTAGCTCAGAATGACATTATATAGTTTTTCAAAGCCCTAAATTGCTATCTTAAAAAAGAAATGAAAAATATTTTTATAAATTAAATACTTTTACACAATGCTAAATATGAGTGGTTAATGTAAAGTTTTAGTGTATAGTACCTATAGAACCTACTTTTTTGTCACATTATGAACTGGAAATAATAATGACCATGTACAGTAAAACCATTAAAAACTTATTAAGATCAGTTACCCTGCAGAAAGTTTATCATCTTGCTAAACTCCATCTTGCAATAGTATACACTACGTAAGTTTACCAGTTATCCCAGTGTGCTTTATCCCTAATTCACAACCAAATTAACTGTCAATTTTTACTTTTTAAAATCGACTAATACATAAAAGGTGGCTATTCTTTAATTTACATGAATCACCATACATTAACCCATTTTGAGATGTTTAATTTTGCAAGGCTTATGTGTTCATGACCTACAAACCTTTATTTACTTATTTTATTCTCCAAGTTTTAGGCCTTATTTTATCAATAAAAATTATTATAACAATCATCCATTCTGAAGTAAATATATTGGGTTTTGGAGTTCCCTGTGGCCTTTTCTATCTGTTACACACGTTATTTGATAATTGCTTATTCTAGAAAAATAATTATCCTTGAAGGAAAAGGTCAAAATAGAAGCAGGGAATTCTCCCTACTGCTGCAAGGAAATGCTGCCTGTTACATATGTCTCTGCCACACACACACATGTGCATGCCATAAAAAGAGACAGGCTGCCAAGATCAAAACAAGCATATCAGGATCAAAACAAGTATACTTTCTCTCCTATTTTGAGTGGTTGAAATAGATCTTGTCTGCATAGTATCAAAATAAGTTTCTAATACTTTTACCTTCACTTACTCCTATCTAGTTTCCCTAGGCTTTGTATGTACAAAAATAAAAGAAAATGTAGACAGCGTTGATAAAATTAAGAAAACAAGGTACTTCGAGTTAATTAAGACTTCTACCCATAGCACAATTTCAAAAAATCCCCAAGGCATATGAAAATGATTTCTGTTGTTGTTTTTGATGATTCTCTGTAGTTTTAGTACTTACAGCAAATCTTCCAGTCTGGAGGCCTCATGTCTTGGGTCCAGCAGATCATAACCACATTCATTGTAGATCTCTAAGTAGGAAACATGAGTTGTATACACTTTACTGCTATCCTGGATAATAAAAAAAAAAAGGAAAGAAGTTAGAGTTATAAAGAGAAGTCAGAACTAGATCAGCAGACAAATTATCACTACAGCTTTTATGTTGCTTCCTCATTCTCTCTTTCTTTTCCTGAATATGGCTTACTGTGGATGGATTTTTAGCAACGAATGGCCACATTCCCAAGTCAGCAAGTGCCTACATGGAGCTCGACATGAACTGAGGATGAAGGAGGACGTGGGTAAGGAAGCAAAAGTAACGGCGCAAGCAAGATAAGAAGAAACTGGAATGTGCTAAGATACAAAATAGTGAACTATTAGCAAGTTAAGTTCCAATAGGCTTTGATTAATTGTACACTAGTTGCTGTGTGCTGCAAGAATATGTATCAAAGCATAATATACTAAGCTATTGTATATGTATCTAATTATACTACAGCAAGTTATTGTATATGCATCCAAATATAATACAGCGAGCTATTGTATATGTAGCTGTGGTCGCTGTGTGCTACAAGAATATGTATTCGATTACAATACAGAAAGCTATTGTAAGCAGATGCAGACAACAGTATAAAAAGGACCGACGGTTTGTAATAAACGGCTTTGGTCTGATCACATTGATCTCTGACTGAGTCCATTTTTCTGCATCAGTTTACATCTTCAATTCATAATACTTTTATGCTTTCTGTTACCATGTGTATAATGACTCAAGAAGAAAAAGGAAAAACTAACAAAAAAACCCTAATCAAAACTCACATACACAAACCCTCAAAACAAAAGTCCTCCCAAAATCCCCCCATGCTCATGGTTTTAGTCTGGGCTTTTTTTGTTGGTTCCTAATATCTAGAAAAGTCTGCATACACTTAGAAGATGGCAGCCTGCTTACAGAACCATACAACAGGCCATTCTTCACTTCTATGACAAAAAGAAGAATGTTATTTTAAAGAAGTAAACTCTCATATTATGGATACAAATAATAAGCTTGAGAAAAAAAAAACACACCAAAAAACAAAGAACAACAACAAAAATAAACCAAAGATTTACTTCATTTAGAAACATCAGGCACTTGCTGCTTTCCACTCTCTTTATCATAACATTTAAGCACTGTATATGATGTTGGCTGTTTTCTGTAATTATCTTTTTTCACATTGCCAAAATGTAACTTAACACAACCGGGTTTTGCAGAGAGAATTTTCTCCTGCCGCAAAGCCAAATCCAAACAACATAAACCACAAAATAAAGGGCTATGATTTCCGAAGTAGAAGAAAATTAGTCATTTCTTTTCAGCAGATAAAGCCACTGTGAAAGTACTCATATCACTCTTAGAGTAGCAATTTAATAATCCAATCCACTACGGCTATTTTGCAAAATACTTTCAGACATAAACCTTTAGTTTTCACTGAATAGTTATTTCACCCAGGTTTTTTTTTAATTGATAATGACAGTCCATTATTTCAAGGGACACCATTTCAAAAGATACACTACAGATGAATGGAAAAACCGTAGTAAGGAAGTTACAGGAAGCTATGGAATTTCTGGCCAATAAACTAAAAAGATAAGTTATTAAAAACAAAAGCCTTGATTTGCTTCTCATTTGGACTAAAAGGTTTTGTTTCTTTGGTTTTAAATTGCACTGTAAGTGTAAGCAAGAGCTTCAGAGGTCTTGTATTTTGTGTTCCTGAGTTCAGTTCTATTTTATCTTACTTAGGCTTAGGAGGCAGATGGTTCCCTCACTATGTCAGCACTTCTCAAAGCACATTCATAGAAAAGAAGAAATGAAAGAAGGGAAAGGTATGAAAAGAAAGGCAGGTGGAAAGATAAAACAGCAAGAAGAGATGTTCTAAGATGCACCAAGAAAGAAAATGTATGAAACAAACACAAAGATTTGGAAACAAGCAGACAGAAATATCCCTATAAGCGTAACTAAGCAGAGCTTTTATCCAAAACCCAGGCTGAAAATGGAAACATATTTTTATTTTTGTAGAAACTATGTGCTGACAAGGCAGCAAATAAAGTATTTATTTTTCATCCTATATTGTTTTTATTACATAGTTAGCACTAAGAAAGAATGTTGGTGTTGACACTATGTTGCTGGCAATTGCACAATCAACCTGTGCACCCCCCACAGTAAAAGTCCTTCCTGGGGTCTGGTGAGTTCAACAGCAGGTCTAAGGCAACATGATCACGGGTTTCCTTTTTTTTTATTACCATTCCCACAAAAGCAAGCTCTTGTGCACCTGCAACATGCTATGTACATTTACCTCTCAAAGCCACACTTTGAAAGAGCCAAGGTAATTATTTAAATATTAACCCTTAATGTTAACCCTTATGTTAATGTGATTGAGATACACACCCTTATTAAGAATTAGTGCCCTCTATAAGATAAATGACAGTATAACAGTACAAATGTAATGACTGATGTTAATGTCAAATAATTTTTAAATTTAATTAAAAAGCATTGTTAAAATGGGAAGATTAATCTTTAATAACTCATAGACCTGGTGAAGTATATGAAGAAATAAAACATATATTACACTTTCTTCCCTTTTGCCTCCTGTAGTAATGAAAGCCCCAAAATGATTTGCTATGTTTACCCATATCAGTATTACATTTCCTCTAAAAGAAACTTCTTGTAAACATAATGAACACTCATAAGTGTGCTACTGTGGTACATCCTTTCACTTATTCGCTGATTTCATTGCATACAAATGTCAAATTGAAATAATTCTACAATATTTTGGTTATAACGTGATACACATACACACATCCTCCCACATTCTCCTTTAAAAAGTTCTTATACCTTGACTGCCAACCACCATATCATCAGCCACTTATTGTTGTGTCTCACAGTCCCCTTATATCTGGCAAAGAATAAGACACATTTCTTAAGCTTTTTTTTACAACCTGTAGGCTGCAGGTTGCTCAGAAGACTTGCTCTATTCAATAAGAAATTTTCTAATTTACTTAATAGAAAAATCGATGTAAGGAGATAAGGAATATTTGAGGTGTGGTAAGACCCTTGCATAACATGTTATATCAACTTAGATATTTCCTTCAGCTTTAATTTTAAGGCTTCCTTTAACAGTATTATAAAAGCAGCCTTTTGCAATACAGTTAAGTATTTGTAAAGCAGACATTAAAAATAAACAGAAAACAATGCCCCATACCTTCTGCAGTTGATCAAAAATGTAAGATAAAGTCCTGGGAATGATGCCTCGATCACTGTAACGTTCTGCTCCTCCTGTGATGGTGAAAGTTTTGCCGCTGCCTGTCTGACCATATGCAAAGATAGTACCATTATATCCTGCTAAAACACTAGAGAATAAAAAAAATGTGAAGATAATTAATATAAAAAGCATAACGTATTTTCCATTAACTTTGTATTTAACCAAAATATAATTATAGTAATTCTTAATTACATAGCAGCTGTTTTCAGTAATACAAGAATACTTTAAGATATGTATTCTAGGTGCAATAGAATTAAACTATCTAGAACTGAAGGACATTGTCTTGCCTTACCCCATTAACCAATATCATCATTAGCTAGTCATATTCATTACTGTTTTCTTTATTTCATATACTGTGTTTACAATCAGTGTAGTAAAAGTCTTTGTTTACCATGAACCATAGAATCATAGAGTCATAGAATCATAGAATAGTTAGGGTTGGAAAGGACCTTAAGATCAACTAGGTCCAATTCACCTGCCACGGGCAGGGACACCTCACACTAAACCATGTCACCCAAGGCTCTGTCCAACCTGGCCTTGAACACTGCCAGGGATGGAGCATTCACAACCTCCCTGCGCAACCCATTCCAGTGCCTCACCACCCTCACAGTAAAGAATTTCCTCCTTATATCCAATCTAAACTTCCCCTGTTTAAGTTTTAACCCATTACCCCTTGTCCTATCACTGCAGTCCCTAATGAACAGTCCATCCCCACCATCCCTATAGCCACCCTTCAGATGCTGGAAGGCTGCTATGAGGTCTCCACACAGCTTTCTATTCTCCAGGCTGAACAGCCACAATTTTTTCAGCCTATCTTCATACGGGAGGTGCTCAAGCCCCCTCATCATCCTCGGGGTCCTCCTCTGGACTTGTTTCAACAGTTCCGTGTCCTTTTTATGTTGAGGACACCAGAACTGTGCACAATACTCCAAGCGAGGTCTCACAAAAGCAGAGTAGAGGGGTTGGGAAAACACACAAAAACACACTGGTGAAAGAAACTTTTCTCTTAGAACTATGAAGACAGGCTGAGAAAGTTGGGGCTGTTCAGCCTGGAGAAGAGAAGGCTGCATGGAGACCTCATAGCAGCCTTCCAGTATCTGAAGGGGTCCTATAGGGATGCTGGGGAGAGACTCTTCATTAGATACTGTAGTGACAGGACAAGGGGTAACGGGTTAAAACTTAAACAGGGGAAGTTTAGATTGGATATAAGGAGGAAGTTCTTTACTGTGAGGGTGGTGAGGCACTGGAATGGGTTGCCCACAGAAGTTGTGAATGCTCCATCCCTGGTGGTGTTCAAGGCCGGGTTGGACAGAGCCTTGGGTGACATGGTTTAGCGTGAGGTGTCCCTGCCCATGGCAGGGGGGTTGGAACTTGATGATCTTAAGGTCCTTTCCAACCCTAACTATTCTATGATTCTATAATTCTATGAACTATGTCTATACAAGAAGCTTCAGTGGAACGGCAATAGCAGCTGTATGCAATGGTTTAGCTTGAAATTATATTCAGACTCATTACACCTCTTAGTTCTACTTGCAGAAGAGCCTTACTAAAGTCTAGTTCAGATCTTTCTCTAATTGCCCTCATTCCCTTCATTAACCTCCACCTGATTTCCACCAAACAGTAGATAAACTTAATGACAGTGGTTTAGCTGCACAGCATGGAGGAAATGTAGGACACGGCTGCAGCTGATATACAGCTCAGAAGCAATGGCTGACTGAATGGAAGTCTATAATGCATTTTCTTTGTACAGCTCTGTCTCATAAGACTAAATAATAAAAAACCTATTTCCACATTTCTAATTCAATTTCTTGTTAATCATTGAAAACTGTTCTGAACCTGACAACTATTTTAAGTGCCCCAAGATTTTATGCTTCATGCTGACTGACTAGAAACAATGAGGTAAAAATGATGGAGGAAAAAATTATTTTGAATTTTTCTTTTTGTAAAAGCAAACAAAAACTGAATAAAATTATCAAAAAAAATAGAATCATAAATTAAATAGTGATGAAATCAGTTATTGACTGTAATATTAAGATGGAAAATCAAACAAGAACTCATGAGAGTCTATAGTTGACAGAATGTATGATAAAGAAATCAGATTAGACTGTCAAGTTTTTTTATTTCCTCTCAGAAGCTGTGAATTACAAATTGTTTCCTGGATTCAGCCATCTCAAAATTGTTCTACCATAATTCCAACAAACATCCCCTGACAAAAAATATGAAGGAGGTATTTGAAAGAAAATAGAGTAAGCAAGAAAGAATTATTTTCTTTATAAAACCTAACAGAAGCAAAATGTACTTTGGATTTGGTTTACTGTAGTTTAATAGCTACTAATATTGCTAAAAATTTAACTAAAAATTTTCTTGTGCATTTTGTTTATTGTAAAAATGATAAAAGATAAGATTTAAAAAAATAAAAAAAAGGAGTAAGCAACCCTTGCATAAGAGGAAAGGAAACATATATAGATAGCTGATACTTTGGCACCACAAGAGATGCGATAGCTCTCCAACTTCTTAAAGTTTATTTAAAGGCCTGAGTAGTTGACAAATTGCTTATATTAATACATTACAGTAGGATGTCAGAGACAAAAACAGAAACATGTTGAAAGGAACTACAATGAACATCTGGCACCCAAAGACCAAATCACCCAAAGACACAGTATGCAGAGATTTTAGATACCAGATGTTAAAAATCAAAACAATTATTATTATCAAACACCTCATTCATCTATCTTAGGAATTTCTAGTGCACACTGTCAAAGTATCTGAATGCTGAAGACAGTAATGAGTTGTCAAAAAGTAGGGGGTATCAAAAGCAGCTCAGAGATGGCAGATTCAAAACAAGCAAGGGAAACTGATTCTTCATGCAACATCTAGTTAAGCTGTGAAACTCCTTGCAGTGGGAAGTTTTGCATGCTAAAAGTTCACACAAGCTTCAGTAGAGACTGGACCAATTCATGCAAAAAAATTATTTCAGCTACTAAACGCAGAGAAATCAGAAAATTCCTAAACTACAAATAACTAAAGGCTAACAGAATACTTGGGGAAGTAGCTCTACATGCTTTCGATGTTTTTTGGTTTGTTTTCTTTTTTTTTTTTTTTCCTGAGTACTGCTAGTTCCTGAAAGAGGTAACATACTGCATTAAACAGAACTTAAGTCTCACCCAGTAGTACAGTTGCTCTTCTGTTTTTACATCTCTGTCTTTGGCTGTTTCAGATCTAGCATTTCGGGTTGTTAAGTTTTCTTCTCTGATTCTTTAAAGTTGTTAAAGGTATATATTTTCAATTACTGTGACATGGCTTTCTGCAGAAAGGTGTTGTTTTGCGATGTGTCCAAAAAAGTGGTAAAGGTGTGGCTGCAAATTATTAATTTAGGGTCCCTGAACTTCACAGAAGGCTGTTGATTAGGATCACCACAAATGTAAACATAGGATAGAATGTTTTTACAAGGGCATGTAGTTATAGGACAAGGAGTAATGGCTTTAAACTGACAGCAGAAGATTTAGATTAGATATTAGGAAGAAATTTACAGTGAGAGTGGTGAGGCACTGGCACAGGTTGCCCAGAGAAGTTGTGGATGCCCCACCCCTGGAAGCGTTCAAGGCCAGGCTGGGTGGGACTTCGAGCAACCTGGTCTAATGGAAGTTGTTCCTGTCCATGGCAGTTTTATACTGAAATGGGAAGAATATATGTAGGTGGACCAATACCTAATCAAATTAAACTGGTATCTTTTTACTAATTAAGCAGGATTTTTAAGATACATACTTACTAGTTTTAACCTAAAATGCACAATCCCTTTAGGGAAACAAAAACATAGAAAGCTTCATAACCTCTTAGTCACACATAAAATGCTATTTAAAAGACAACAACAAACAACTACAGAATTACATTTCACAAAGTGTAGGGTCTCTCAGATGCTAAGAGTTAGCACAGTAAGTGGAAAATGTACATGTTCTCCCTTACACCATGAAATGCAATCACAACAGGTACCTAAAAAGGTTGGCAATAAAGATTTTGAGACAAGAGGATCCAGAGTGTATTTTCTGAGCAGCATCAACCATACAGATCCCTGAAGATTCTCATTGGCAAATGAAAGCTGTCACCAGCAGCAGTGGAACCTGTTCTCTACAGGAAAAGGCAGTAGAGAATTAGCAGCTCTTTTCTGCATATACTGCAAAATCAACTTTGCAAGATGTTCACCTAGGCAAGATCTACAAGTTTGCTTTTCAAATTGTCTGAACAAAACCCTAAAATTTTGGTAAACTTAGTATTTGAAAGTACGTAAGTTGACACAGTTGTTGATGGTAGTCTTGCGAAGCCTAAAACATGCACACATAAAAATCATACACTAAAAGGATATTTTCAGTCATGCCCCAGTGTTATCAGAGTATCCAGAATTTTGCAATTTGTTTTTTTCACCCTCGAAGCTGAGTTTTGGCATGGTTAATTATATACTTTATTGAATAAATTGTCTCTTTACTACTTCAGAAAAAATACATCAATAACACATAATACAAGGAAAGGTTTTGGTGAAAAGATCTTTCATGAACTTATGCAATGTTGTATAGCTCCCTATTCAGTTCATGGACTACTTCCAGACAGATCAGCTAAAATATTGCTGGAGAAATCTGTTTCTAGTATATGTTAGCAAAGTTAATCTGTTATGATTGTCAGAATTCCTGAAGGGCTTTTATTTTTTTTTAATTAATACCAAGAAAAATTTTAAAAAGCCTACTAGGGAGAAAAATAAGTATTTAAAATACAGTCACTAAATCTGTACAAATTTGTACATTCGTTTCACTGTTAGGAAATCTGAGAAGTTCATTTTCCTTACACACTAAAACTTAAATGCATAAAGGGAAAACCTAAGTTGTCATATGCATGAGCAGTCGGTCCAACATGTTGGAGTTTGTACCTGTGAACAACAAAATTGACTGAATATGAACAAGTGTCATTGGACTGAATTTCTGCATGCACATAAGTCTCAAAAAAATTGCCCAAGACCTGAAATTCTGTGAAGATAAGGTTTTCAGAAAAAGATGATGTTTCTGGGAAACACAGACATATAGTAGTTCTGCAGACAATCAG